AGATATAAATTTAATATGTATTAAATGCATATTCATCAGAAAATATAACTCCTCTGGTGAGATATTGCGCATGCGCTAACACACTAACGTAGCCAGATTGTGTATTGATTGGCATATGCAGAGGACACTTTACTTGCAAGGTATACGTCCTATTTCTTAAGTGAGGTCTACGGATGGTATGTTATCATATAAATCTATGCTGGGATACCTGCTCTTCATTTTAAATGCATAATTTTTGCAAAATATTATTTTTCTCATGAGATGTTGCGCATGCGCGAGCACCGTTTCATGCGCTCAGAACGGAGTGAAGCAAAATGCATAATATAGCTTGCTGAGAGAGAGAGGGGTGGGAGACTGAGGACCGACGGCAGGGAAGATAGCTGAAGGCGGTAGACGAAGAAGGAGTCTAAGCGAGGGGCAAGAAAGCCAGTGGGAAATCTGGAGGGGATAAAGTAAGAGTTTTGCACCCTGCAGGCTAGGACGTTCTCCTTATTATATATCCACAAGTCTACATATAAAAATTCATTTCAGAAATCTATGCTGAGATACTTCCTAACCATAATAAATGCATATTCATCAGAAAATATAGCTCCTGTGGTGAGATATTGCGCATGCGCTAACACTAACGTAGACAGATTGTGTATTGATTGGCATATGCAGAGGACACCTTACTTGCAAGGTATTCGTCCTATTTCTTAAGTGAGGTCTGCGGATGGTATGTTATCATATAAATCTATGCTAGAATAGCATAATATTATAAACATAAGCAAACTGCATAATATTATATTGGAAAACATGGTAAAATTCGGCGGCCGCCTGCGCATTTGCGAATTGCAGAGCGCAATCTCTTTCGGACGGCCGACGGCGATATGCATGTGCAGCAGGCACCTTACATGCACATTCTTCTTCCTATTTATTAAGAGTGGTCTACTGATTGAATGATTTCATGTAGATCTATGCTAGAATCCCTATTCATTTTAAATGCACATTTTTTGCAAAATATTCTTTGTCTCGAGAGATATTGCGCATGCGCGAGCGATATTTAATGCGCACAGTAGGCCTACGAATTGGAGAAAAACCTGAATAATATAGCTTTGATTAAGATTAGAAAAGTGGGAGGCTAAGAAAAGACATGCCACATTCCAAATAAAATGCTCAACGTCGACCCTACGTCATTTCCTTTAGGTGACAGGTCGCTGACGTTGCCGCGCTGTATCCCTGTGCATTAGTGTAGCAAGGGTTCTTCCACCAAGCAGTGTCACCACATTGACGTAGCAAGGTTGCAATTTGCGATGCGCACTTTGTGTAGGCATCCCACACTCCTTATTAAATGCTTATCGGTGGCCCTACGTCATTTCCGTTGGACGACAGGTCGGCGACGTGTCCGCGTCCTATCCCCGCATTGGTATAGAAAGGGATCTTTGGCAGAGCAGTGCCACCACATTGAAGCTGCGAGTGTGCATTCTTCAATGCGCACCTTCTCTAGGCATGCTTAACGTTAGCCCTAAAGTCATTTCAAAATTCACAAAGTTCAAAATTAAAAAGTTCATTCCTAAAGCCCTAAGTCATTTCCTTTGGGCGACAGGTCGCCGACGTGTCCGCGCCCTATCTCTGTTCATTGGTACAGGAGTGGATATTCCGCAGATTTATACAATATATATACGCGAGTAGGACGCAATTCATATGCCGCTATGTACACGAGTATAGGACGCAATTAATATGCCGCTATATATGCGCGTAGGATGCAATTAATATGCCGCTATATACACGAGTAGGACAATTAATATGCCGCTATATACACGAGTAGGACAATTAATATGCCGCTACATATACCTACGAATAGGACAATTAATATGCCGTTATATAGACGAGTCGGACTATTAATATTCCGCTATATACAATTAGGACAATTAATGGGCCGCTATATAATTAGGACAATTATCTTGTTCCTACCGAGATATGCGCAAAACCGCCACACTGACAGGCAGGTAAAGCTAGTGCGCGTATGTTACCACACCTAACAACTCGTGCATATCTACATACAATTATATTCTGCAGGGTAAACAAGTAGCATAAGTATTATTCAAGCACAGACCTATATGCTTTACCCGTTCAGTCATTTTCTACGCCATAAAACTACGTATGTAAATTTATACATAAACATAAGCGTATAAAATAACTTGCTGCATATGTAATTACGTAGCACAACGGCCGAGTACCGCCTAACCGCACCACCACCACCATCGCCACAGGAAACCATAAGGTATTTGACGCGTACGCGTACGCACGCGCGAAATTGATACGTAAAAATTGTATATCTATATAGGCCGATATAATATATATATATATATATAGGCCGATATAAGTGTATATCTACATTCTTTCACACGCGTTTGCTGTCGCGCTCACAGGGGGAGAGAATCGACTGATTAGTTTTGCCTCAGCAATAATACTGCAAGTTACCCCAACCCCTCCTTATACATTACTACACTACAGAGTCATGTCAAGTTACCCCAACCCCTCCTTATACATTACTACACTACAGAGTCATGTCAAATGCAGTGCAGTGCTGCGCAAGTGAAATACTGGGATCGCTACCCGCTCTAAAGACCCTCATGAGACTCTTTCCGTATCCGACTCCGCGTCCGTATCCGAGTCCGCGTCCGACGCCGAGGCCACCGTTGGCACCGAGGGCACTGAGACCTAGGTTAGCCGGAGCAGTCCCTGCTATCGCACCAGCCACCTATAAGTAATCGAAGTGCGCACGTGGACATCAGCACCTGCATGGATGCTGCGGCTACGTCGTGCTAGTAATACGTGTGCATCTATCTCCTCAAACAAGCTGATGTAATGCAAATAAGCTCATATTGAGGCTGATAGTTGCAACTAAAATGAACCGCGAAGCATCTACAAAAGAAAGCTCAAGTTCCGTGATCGTTCATTCTTGAGCTTCCTTCCATAACGTTGCGTGCTGTTTACGCGAACAAAATCTATTAGCTAGCTATTTATTTTGCTACATCGTTCTGCCGAAGCTGTGATTGGACTGACGAAATACGAACCCAAATAGTTCGAAATATAAAGATATAAAACTCTACCCTCATTAAGCGACAAATCCGGCGTCCGACAGAGTGGCAGACGCGTCCGAAAAACGAACGACGTATCAGTAATATCAAAATGTAAATCATGACTTACTACTTACTAAATTATTAGAAATACATTTGTCATTATTCACCGCTGGTAATATCTCTACAGCGTCGTTTGGCAACGTTCAGCAAAATAGGAGAATATGTTTATCTATATTTTTATACTTACACTAATCAGTAGAATAACAGCAAAAGACAGCATTGTGATGAGTGCTCTGCAAATATAAGAAACAATTTAAGATCTCACGAAACGAAAGAACCGTTAGCAATATCGTAGTCACGGATATAACATTCCTATACTTTGCACTGCGTGAGTCCAACATGTTCTGTTAGCATCTATGACAAATACGACATACGCATATACGCTCTCCTATGACACAATTCATATGACAGATGCGTTGTGCGCATCATAGCAGTCTAGGAGCACTATTATGAACGCAAGCAGTAAATTTCAGCTGTAAAGCGGAACAAAGTTGACTCTTCAATATTTGTCATAGAAAAAATCTTCCTATGACTAATAGTGTCATAGGAGCGCGTATATGCGTATGTCGTATTTGTCATAGATGCAAGCAGAACCGCTAGCAATATCGTAGTCACGGTATAACATTCTTATATACTTTGCACTGCGTGAGTCGTACTCTAACAATAGTTACATAAAGACATATCTATCAGCTCCGACTTTCTCGGCTTTTGCACATAAGCCGTAGAAAAAGTTATACTTACATTACCAAAGATGCTTTCAGAGGTCCTCTCGATGCAAGTAAGTGGTCTGCAAGTGCTGACGATAGGCTAAGAGAGAAGGGTTTATATACCATAATCCTTGATCGTTAACCGCCACCGCCTTTCTTCTGCTCCAGCCGAGGCCGAGGCCATATTGTATATCAATCATACTCGAGTTCACGTATTTCGCTGGAAAAGAAATGTGAGCTGTCGCTACTGTCACACCATCACGCGAAATCAACAATCTGATGACCGCAGGCGGAACCTGACGGGAGCTTGTTAACTCCAGCACCTATGAACCAAGTTGTTTACTGTTACCAATCTACTAACTCAAGATCTATGACCAAGGGGTAACATATGTAACAAGGGTTAACACTTTAGAAATTTGAATAAGAGATTCTATCTCTTGATGTGCATACAAAAACTACCCGATCCTAAATTCCAATCCGCTTATGAAAAATCGATTAGTATATTTAATCAACAGATTTAGTGTGCGGGACACGCGTGAACGAACGCGTAACGGAAAGTTATTTTTACCGCTGCGTCTGTGACCTTGGTTCAACGCGCGACCTAGCTATCGTCTGGCGGTGAGAAGCTATCGTCACGGTAGAGTCTATGTGGGACGCGCGGCGCGGCGCGGCGAAATCGCCCCACGGGGCTAAAAGTCATAGACAGAAGACGCTACGTAATATGTTTTATTAACAGTTTTGTCCTCGTAGCGATCGAAAGGGAATGCGCTTAATTGCGGCTGAACAAAGCTTTGTGAAAAATCGCCCGGGCGCAGGTTAGAAAACCATCATTAAAAATATAATAGCGGATACCAGGATACGCATCAGTTTGCTCGATGTCATCACAGGCACTTGAAACGTCCCAATTAAAAAAAATTATAGTAAATAAACACGAAATGTATTTACTCCCAAAGTCTTAATGTTTCTCTACTCTATTTCGCCTATTACCCGTAAATGCCGGTCAAATGCTCATCTGCAACACACAAGTACACCGCACGCCCGCCCTGTGTACAAACAACATGAATAAGAGACAAGAACATGAACAAGAATCCTCACTCTCTTATTCTGCAGGCTAGGGCGCTCAACTCTTATTTCATCCCCTCCCGTTTTCCCACTGCCTTTCTTGCTCCTCGCTTAGACTCCTTAATCTTCTACCGCCCTCAGCTATTTTCCCTGCTGCCTATCCTTAGTCTCTCACCCCTCAATCTCTTACTCAGCAAGCTATATTATGCAGTTTATACTTCAGTCCGTTCTGAGTGCATTAAACGGTGCTCGTGATCTCATGAGAAGAAGAATATTTTGCAAAAATGTATGCTGAGATACCTCCTAACCATAATAAATGCATATTCATCAGAAAATATAGCTGCTGTGGTGAGATATTGCGCATGCGCTAACACTCTAACGTAGCCAGATTGTGTATTGATTGGCATATGCAGAGGACACTTTACTTGCAAGGTATACGTCCTATTTCTTAAGTGAGGTCTACGGATGGTATGTTATCATATAAATCTATGCTGGGATACCTGCTCTTCATTTTAAATGCATAATTTTTGCAAAATATTATTTTTCTCATGAGATGTTGCGCATGCGCGAGCACCGTTTCATGCGCTCAGAACGGAGTGAAGCAAAATGCATAATATAGCTTGCTGAGAGAGAGAGGGGTGGGAGACTGAGGACCGACGGCAGGGAAGATAGCTGAAGGCGGTAGACGAAGAAGGAGTCTAAGCGAGGGGCAAGAAAGCCAGTGGGAAATCTGGAGGGGATAAAGTAAGAGTTTTGCACCCTGCAGGCTAGGACGTTCTCCTTATTATATATCCACAAGTCTACATATAAAAATTCATTTCAGAAATCTATGCTGAGATACTTCCTAACCATAATAAATGCATATTCATCAGAAAATATAGCTCCTGTGGTGAGATATTGCGCATGCGCTAACACTAACGTAGACAGATTGTGTATTGATTGGCATATGCAGAGGACACTTTACTTGCAAGGTATACGTCCTATTTCTTAAGTGAGGTCTACGGATGGTATGTTATCATATAAATCTATGCTAGAATAGCATAATATTATAAACATAAGCAAACTGCATAATATTATATTGGAAAACATGGTAAAATTCGGCGGCCGCCTGCGCATTTGCGAATTGCAGAGCGCAATCTCTTTCGGACGGCCGACGGCGATATGCATGTGCAGCAGGCACCTTACATGCACATTCTTCTTCCTATTTATTAAGAGTGGTCTACTGATTGAATGATTTCATGTAGATCTATGCTAGAATCCCTATTCATTTTAAATGCACATTTTTTGCAAAATATTCTTTGTCTCGAGAGATATTGCGCATGCGCGAGCGATATTTAATGCGCACAGTAGGCCTACGAATTGGAGAAAAACCTGAATAATATAGCTTTGATTAAGATTAGAAAAGTGGGAGGCTAAGAAAAGACATGCCACATTCCAAATAAAATTCTCAACGTCGACCCTACGTCATTTCCTTTAGGTGACAGGTCGCTGACGTTGCCGCGCTGTATCCCTGTGCATTAGTGTAGCAAGGGTTCTTCCACCAAGCAGTGTCACCACGTTGACGTAGCAAGGTTGCAATTTGCGATGCGCACTTTGTGTAGGCATCCCACACTCTTTATTAAATGCTTATCGGTGGCCCTACGTCATTTCCGTTGGACGACAGGTCGGCGACGTGTCCGCGTCCTATCCCCGCATTGGTATAGAAAGGGATCTTTGGCAGAGCAGTGCCACCACATTGAAGCTGCGAGTGTGCATTCTTCAATGCGCACCTTCTCTAGGCATGCTTAACGTTAGCCCTAAAGTCATTTCAAAATTCACAAAGTTCAAAATTAAAAAGTTCATTCCTAAAGCCCTAAGTCATTTCCTTTGGGCGACAGGTCGCCGACGTGTCCG